TTGAGGCACATGAGTTGATTCGAAGGTTCTAGATGGAGGATAGGGGATGTTCATGTTAGATGTAAGAGCTGTTGGAGGCAACCACGGTGGTGTTGTTGCCGGTTATGTGTTTGATTTTTATGGTTTTTTTGTTAATTTGTGAAGGAAAGATACGAAGCTTGATGAGTTTTTATATTTGGCAAAATCTTTTTGTTCTTCGGATAGCATAATCCACATTGAAGTGGAATTTAGGAGCATGCAACTATAATCTTACTGAAGTTATAAATGCATAATTATGAGATGCAATTCTTTACCATTGATTGTGGTTATTGAGATTGATTTTGATAAAGGAACTTTTAGGGCTTACAACTTCACTTGAGGACACAACGGACATTTACCCATCATATTTGGTTCTGCATAGGAGGTGGATAGGAGGAATTGTTTAAGATTTTTCCTAGAAAGAGGAGATATTTGGGCTATGTAGAGGTATAAATAGGTGGAACTAGCATTGAGCTTTGGGGATATGTAGGGGTAGGCTTGTGCCAGATGAGGAGGGATTCTTTTAGGAGGAGGAGGTTTGAGCAGCGTGAGTCTATCCAGAGTTTCTCGATGGAGGAGGTTTGAGCAGCGTGAGTCTATTCAGGGTTTTCAATTTTTGGTGCAAGATTTGTTGGATGGTGTTTGCAGGTTATGTTGTATCTTTTGTTAATGTGTTAGGAAATATAACACTTTTGACAAGATTTTGTTGTTTCTACGTGAGCATAGGGAACATTGAACTAGAATTTAGGAATACTTACATGTAATCTTAATTTTGAACAAATGTACTCAGTACTCATGAGATGCAATTGTGTCACATTGATGATGGTACTTGAAATTGGTATTGGTAGAACTAATTGCGATAATCCTTAAGATGGAAATGTCCTAAGTTTAGATATTGTGTAGGAAAGTTTAAGAGGACTTCTACGGGAATGGGTTGAAATGGATACGTTTATACCTCATGCACGTGGAAAGGACGAGCACCCATGCACAGAGCAGTAAATTGAGTCCTAAGTGGCTATCATGAGATGTAGGCTAATAAAGTTCGTATAGTATCATGGAATAATCAATTTATTAGATTTTAATCTGAAAGAGATTATTTTCCATCTAATTGTCTTCAATCCTTGATCTCTCATAAAACAATCAGTCATTGCTTGGGTACCTAACTGTTCACAAATTGGTCTTGCTACCAGATCCCCTTTTTAGTAGTAGACCATCTTCACCCTTTTTCTCTCTCTGATGTTAAGTGAAGTTGTGATATGGCTAATTCTGAATGAAAGTTTGGTAGCATTGATAATGGTTCTTGAGATTGATGCTCACATATGAAGTATTTGAGGTATTCCATGGGTGGGAAATGTGAGCTCAGTTCCTAAATGGTTAACTTTAATAGGTCATGCAAGAAATGACTCAGGGAGATGCACATATACCTTAAGCATGAGCACAGAGTGCAAAATTGTGTTCCTGAGTACCATTAAGAGAGTTCTGGGTGCTGGAGTTGCGGAGGTGGCTTGGAGTTTGGGTTCCTGTCTCAATTCCTGCTTGTTACTTTCTATGGTGAATTTGGAGAAGGGTTCATAGAGGTATCAACTTTGAGTAATCCTTATATTCAGACTTTCCAGCAACCTTAGGCCTCGTTTGGCAAAAGGTTAAGAGGGTTTAGCCAATAGAAGTCGGTAACGTGGGACGCTATAGCGAACCACGACCCAGGTTCAATCGACCCAGGTTCGTATGGAATGCAACCCGATTCACCAACTCCAAGGACCCGATTTAGAATTCAAGGCTGTAAATTTTTTGGAAAACAATAACTCTTTCTTAAAAGAATAAATAACAGAAAAAGAACTTGAGAAATTAAGCAAATACCTTTATTGCAACATGATTTTTAATGTTCTTTTACCATTATTGATATCAACTAGCTTATCTCTTAAATTTGACTCTTGCATGAGCCGAGCATAAAGCGTACCACATTCCCTGATATACCGTATAAGTCTACCTCTCTCGTACCCGATCCCTAATGAGTGGTGTACCATATTCCGATGTACCATGTTCCGATACCCCCGTGAAGTGGAATGAAGCGGGTTCCATGCAACACAGGTTTAGCCCCTCCTTAACCATCCAAACAGGTTAATTTGGTCAAAGGGCTAATGAACCCTTGATAAGGGTTGAAGTTAGTTAACCCCTCATTTAGAGGAGTTAACAAATCTGCCTAAAGAGGAGGCTTAAGCGTTAGTCCCTCTTGAAATAAGGAATGAAACTTTAAAAATGAATGTACTCTACGATATTTATGGCAACTAACCTCATTGACCCTTCTTTATTTGCCAAACACAAAAAGCTTAACCTTTCATCTTGACTATCAAATCCACATGTAATTAAATTCTTTTTAACCTGTCATGACGGATTAACTAAGTTAGTCCTTCCTCTTAATCCTTCTTCCTTAACCCCTTGCCAAACGGCACCCTATGGCTTAGGCTATCCATATCAATATTGCACTAGATTGTTGGAACCCTCTTTTGAAATATTGCACAATAATTATCCTGAAATTATGAGTAACTGCTACTTCTGAATGGAAGAACGTAAGATTCAAACCAAATGGAAAGAACTATACCACTTGGCCGAAACATAAGAAAGAGCATACTTGACACATTGATCTAAACAGATAGCAGGCTCTGACCTAACCTAACGCATCTACTCCTCTATACAAATGGGAGAACCCAAGATTCACTATTCATGCTATAGTAAATGTTACAACAACATTTAATGTAGCATTATTACTGTAGCAACATGAAACTGGCTATTGGATTTTTTGAAAAATAATACTGTATCACACGAGAATACTGTAGCAATGGAAAACTTTAAGGACTACTGTAGCAGTTAAAGCGAGATTACTGTAGCAGTTAAAACCGGGATTACTGTAGCGGAAAATGTGTTCACACTAGTGTATTAAATGGGTGAGTCGGGGCAACCAGTTATGGCCACACACCCTGGATATATATAGACTAACCCTAGTTTGGTTCAGGTCATATCAAAGTAGAGACCCTTGTGCTTATTCATTTTAAAGCGGAATGTTGTTTGCTAGTTTTGAAACATAAAAGTAAAATTTTCAAAACCAATTCCATTTCGTTGTAAGTTCTTTTTTATAACATAATAATGTTAACCAAGGTTCCAAAACAAAATTTTCCTATAGGAAAATTTCTCGTGCTGGGTTAACATAAATGTTAGGGATCTACTATTGTACTATAGGCTACAACACCCATAATAGAAGTCATTCAAATGCAAGAGAAAATTTCTTTTGCAGGGATAACATAAATGTCTGGGTGCTACTATAGTCTACAACAGCCATAATAGAAGTCATTCAAATCAACTGTTATATGATTAAAGTATAGAATTTTCCAACTGCTAAAATAACCCACTAACAGTGATGTATTTCCCCAAATCAGTTAAGTCCGTTCACATGCTATCCTTTTTATATCTATGCTTGAACTATGTTTTGGAGTTAATCTGGTGTTTTTCCAGTTGGTGGGAATTTTCTTGTGTTAGGGTAAGCAATGATAAATGTCTTCATGTGTTATATATCAGGAATCCATGTAAATGGACTCTGTTCTGGAGTTTCTTGTGTACTTTGAGTCAAGTGTTGGCCATATTGCCTATTTGTTTGCACAGAACCAGTTGATTTAAGTGGTGTCAATATTTTTTTCAAACTCTTACTTTCAGTTTGGAGCCCTCTGCAGTAAATGAGATCTATATAGGTTCCATTCCTCCCCCTTCCCCTTTTGTCGCTCGTTAATTGATGCTTTTATCTATACATTTTTTACTTAGGTATCTCTGTGAACAAATCTTTCCCCGATTTTTTTTAATCAATTGATCCATATGTGTGAACTATAGCATCTTTTTATTGTTCCTATAAGCATTCCGTGCATTTTTCAGGGATGCGTGTCACTCACTGAAGGCGAAAATGGGACTAGTCTCCAGGGGCAAGTGACAATTTGTCATCCACCAGAAGTAGAAAACATTACTGAAAAACCTACTGAAGAACAGGCCTCAGATACTCTTCTCAAAGAAGGACAAGTAATAGAAGAACTGGCTCCAGGTTCTATTGATAATGGAGGTGAATATGCACAAACTTCACGAGGCATTTCAATACAAAGTGCTGATGGATATGAGATGACATCGAGAAGCACAGAGAACTATCGACAACCAGAAATTTGGAGCTTCTCTCAAGGAGTTTCAAAAGCTAGACCAGTTGATTATGAGGCAGCATCTGTGTTATAGGCCAAGAAGTTGTGTAGAATCTTGGTTTATAGGGAGAACAACTTTCATGTGTAGATATTTTTTTTCTTTAATAATGATAACGTGTTTTTTTAATAACGAGAATATGTAACATTTTGTGTTAGTTGTATGTGACAAGGTCTATCAAGTTAACTGTGATGTTCATTGCTCCTTTTCCCCCTCTTTTTCGGATTTTTTTTTGCAATTTTTTCATGTTTAATAATAAATCTTTTTTTTTTGAAAGAAACATATCATGTAAATAGTTTTATTTATGTTTGCTGATTTATTTTTACATGATAAATGTAATATTTTCAATGAAAAATAATAAATTAAATATTTTACGGCATGTTTGGTAACTTTGGGATGGATTATAATCCACTTACAGTCCTGATAGTCAGCTTTCAATATTTAGGTATCTGGTAAATAAATGGATTCTAATATGTTGTTAATGACAAAATGATAAAAATCTCAATTTAAGGCATTCTCTAGAATTTTGTGAAATCGGGAGGGATACATTATCTTACTTGATCAAATTGGTCATTATCTTACATGGTCAAATCTCATGTATTATAATCCACAAAAAACAACCCTAGATACTTTTTTGGTGGACTATAATCTAATAATCCACTCAAAATAAACCTACCTAAAATGCGACAGGGGATTATAAAAACTAGAAAAACTAGATTGTATACACTTTGACGAAGTTTTCAACAATGCTCTTCGTTAAAATTGATCTCCACTTTTCTCACTATCATATATGATGCACTTTTTAACCAGAGGTTAAAGATGCTTTAGCTTTGATCTAGCACTATGTTTTATATTTTATTTAGGGTAAAGTGCTTCTAGCCCTTAAAATAATAAATTTATTCCACCCACCCCCAAGACTTTTTCAAAACTCCAACAACCCTGTAAAGGAAATGGCATATTCATTTAGCCCCCTCCTGCTCAAATTAAACCCTCATATGTACTTTAAAAACATGGTTAGACCAAAATACCCTCCATAGTTTGTTTTGGGACGTGGAGGGGAGAGGGGGCCATCATCTCACTGTATGCTCATTTAATGATGATTAGAAATGGGTTTTGGAGGGAAAAACCCTAGTTCCCTCCAATTTAGTCCCTACAACCATCTTCTCCCTCCCTCTCTCTCTCTCTCTCTCTCTCTCTCATGGCCACTAATTCTCTCCATAAATCCTCTTTGCTTCTTCAAGTACTCTCCCTTGACCATTTAATTCTCCTCCATAAGTTTTTCTTTACTTCTTCAACTACTTTTCTTCATAATGACGGAAGGATCCCTCACTTGCATAGTTACAAACACAAAAAGCAACGAAGAGGTTGAGGGTGTTTTCGTAGTTATTAATAACTCTACAAAAATTATTAGCTTGAAGTATCAAGTGTCTCGAAGGCTTAAACTCCCATTGCAATTTCTTTCACTGAAATACATATCCAAAAAGGAAAAAAATAGTTTTACAATTGAAAATGACGACGACCTCAGCTTGATGTTCAAGTATTGTCCTCGCATTAGATTTACAATCATAAACTTATATGCTACCACAGCTGCAAATTCTTCAACTTCTCAGAACACCCAAACTTCTCCAGAAAATATGCAAGAATTTTAAACTCTTTATTTTCCCAAAGCATTTTAATAATTTTATTTATGAAATTAGATAGGATTTGAAAGTTATCAGTTGGTTGTTAACCATATAGGTTAGTTGTTAAGGTCTTAGTCGTTTGTTAACCTTACGAGATAGTTGTGAATATTATAATTAGTTGTTAGCCATAATGATTAGTTGTTGAGGTTTTGAATTGATTGTTAACCTTATGAGTTGGTTCTTAACCATAAAAGTTAGTTGTTAACCTTAACTATTAGTTGTTAGATTATGAGTTAGCTTATTAACTTCATGAGTTGGTTGTTAACCTTAGTAGATGTCTCTATAAGCAAACAGTTGTTAATGTTATGAGTTAGTTGTTAACCTTATGAGTTGGTGCTAATCTTAGTAGTTAGTTGCTAACATTTACAGTTAATTGTTACTTATTCAAACGTTTTCTCTTCATTCCCGTCAAAACATTCCTGATGCACACCTGCTACACTCAGTCAATCGTGTAATGATGAGCACATTCCTAAAAACAATCCTATTTGCGGCTCTATCATTATGATAGAAGACATAATTAATAACCAAATCAACATCCCAGCTAAGTGGCACACGACCATACGTGCAGAGGGACATAAATTTGATACTGCTGCTAAATTTAGATTAGCATTTCAATATTATTCAATTATAAAAAATTTGAGTATGACTTTTACCATAATGAAAAAAAATGTGTAAGAGTGTATTGTCGATACAAGGACACGCAGAAATGCCCTTGGATATTATTTGCTTTCCCACTCCAAAAATACTCAATTATGACTATAAAAAAATTCCACACTACTCACACTTGTGGTCAACATGGAGCTATTGCTAGTAAATCAAGGGTATCACACAAATTCATTGCAAGTCAAATATAATCTGTTATAAAGATTATGCCAAAGCTTTGGCTAATTGATACCAACAGCAACTTGCTCTCACAGTTTGACATCAAGATTAATTACAGCAAAGTGTGGCAAAAGCAAAGAGAGCATAACATGACCTGTTCGATGACGATGATGAGGCTTGCGATTCACTAAAATGGTAAAAGTTATCTAATTAAATAAATACTTATATCATAGCTGTCATGTCTGTGTTAGTCATTAAGTTTACTCATTAATTGTGAAGTTTACAGATTTGTTGTTAAGGTTACATCGTAATTGTTAAGTTAACTTAGTTGTCAAGTGTTAATGTTACAGATTAATTGTTACATTTTTGCACTAGTTCGTTAAGTATATAGTTTAGTTGTTAGATGTAAAGTTTAGTTGTTAACTTTGTAATTTAGTTGCTAAGTATACATCTTAGTTGTTAAGTATGCAGTATAGTTGTTAAGGTTAAATTTTAGAGGATAATATTAATTATTACTTGTTATATTTATACAGGTGTGAAGCCATGGTTCTAGTCACTAATCTAGGAAGCCATATTGTCATTGATGATTATGACAACATGTTTAGATGTTTGTTCATAAGTTATAATGTTTGTATTCAAGGGTTTATTGCTGGATATAAGCCTCTGTTGTTTTTATATGGAACATATCTTAAAGACCTCTATAGAGGTATATTACTTAGTGCCATAGGATATGATGGCAAGTAAGGAATATTTTCTCTTGCTTATTGCATATGTGACCAGGAAAATGAGGTAAATTGGAAGTAGTTTTTATAAGGAGTGTGGTCCATACTATATGATAGGGAAATTCTTAGAATCTCTCACATCAACTAGTCATGATTTCTGATACCGACAAGGGTATTAGAGTAGCATTTAAAGAATTGTTTCCAAATGCATTACATTCTAGGTGTGTTCTCTATCTAGTTGAGAATTAAAAAAAAAGCTTATAAGTTCACAACTGCTGAATGGGGTGATTACATGAAAGAATTGGACTTGATAGATAAAAGAGCTTATGTTACTGCAATAAAGAGAGATGGGCAAACGCTTACTTCCTTGATATAAGATATGATACTATTGTTTAATTTATTTTCTTGTTGAGTTTTTGGTTAGCTGTTAAGGTTAAGTTTTAGTTGTTAACTGTACATGTTGGTTGTTAAGTTTACAGTGTGGTTATTAAGTTTACACATAGTTATAAGTTTATATCATAGTTGTTAAGTTTACATATATCTCAGTTGTTAAAATTATAGTGTATAGTTGTTAAGTTTACAGAGTAGTTGTTAAGAATACAACGTAGTTATTAAGTTTATAGCATAGTTTACAACTTAGTTGCTGAGTCCTTCAACAGTTGGATAAGAAAGGTATGAATGTTATGAATCTTACTTTTAGTGGAGACGATACGAAAGGAAATCATGGAGCGCATACATGATAGAGGGTTATGACAGCGAAATAGACTAGATACTTATGTCCAGAAGTTGAGATAGTATTGAGTGATAATATTCATCAAAGAAGCTATGTTAAAAACTCAATAGAAGATACTGTGGAGGTTGATTCTAATAAAAATTGCTATGTAAATTTGAAGAAATAGACATGTTCATGTAAGTTTTGGGATATCACATACATTCCTTGTAAGCACGCTTGTGCTGCAATTACTGGGATGGGACGAGATATTTATTATTATTGTAATTAGTTTATGATTTTTAAGCATTCAGAAGAAGTTATGAACCAATCCTATTTCCTATTTCAGATTACGAGAAACACATTTTTTTGTCAGAAGATCATCAGTTAAAACCTCCCCTTACGAAGAAAAGATGTGGACGACCATGTCACTAAATATCCAACCTATTAAGTACTCTTGATGCCGCATGAAAGTTCTTAATCGAGCAACATGCAACGAGCCTATCTAATTTTTAAGGTTTAGAGTCAGTTGTCAACTTTTTGTATTAGCGGCTAACCACATGTATTGGATGTTAACCTTTTGTATTAATAGTTAATCATATGTATTGGATGTTAACCTTTTGCATTAGCAACTAATCATATGTATTGGATGTTACCCTTTTAGATTAGCTATTAATGTTATGCGTAAGTTTGACCAAACAATGCATGAAATCATAGTATGTAGTAAAACTTAGTAACTAAGTTATAAACTTGACAACTAAGTTGTAAACTTAACAACTAAATTTTAACCTTAACAATGAATTCATAAACTTAATAACTAATCCATGACCTCAATAACTAATCAATAACCTTAACAACCAATGGATAACCTTAACAACTTAACAATAAGCTTCACAACTTACACTTAACCTTAACAACTAATGCATATCCTTGATAACTAACACTTAACCTTCACAACTTACGTTAAGCCATAAACAAATAAATATTTACAAGTATAATATTTAGAACAATTAAGAATGTTTGGAGAACCATTTAAAATTATTTTCAACACTATAAGACAAACCAACGATCCATCCACCCATGCTTCTTTATATTGTGGTTCAAATCTTTCAAGATCATTATTGTCAAGTTCATCAAGAAGTTTTTTCTTCATTCTCCCTTCAATTAGTAAATAAGAGGCTAGTTTCGCTGGTATGACCCGTGAAGAGTGATCTTCAAGCGTGAGGTGCGGGACATCTCTTCCTTCAATAATAGCTTCTATATACAGGTACAC